AGACAGGCTGGAGATTGAACTGTCCTCAAGATCTTCAGATTGTCCATTGTCTTCTGACAATCCAGGAGAAATATTCCAAATCTCCTGAAAAACCACAGGAAGGCTCTCTGCCACCCCAGTGGCCTCATCCTGTACAGCAGGGGCACCAAGTTCTTTATGTGAACCAGGAGAGAGGCTGGAGGATGGTGGTTCCTCAAGAAAATGAACATCTCTGGCGTCCTCCGCCAACCCTGGAAAACCACTGCACACCTCATCTAAAACCTCTGGACAGCTCTGTGTCTCCTCGGTGATGGACATAACCTGTTCACCTAGTTCTACATGCGAGCTTACAGAGAGGCTGCAGAATGGTACTTCTTCAACAACTTGAAAATCTCTGGTGTCCCCTGGCAAACCTGGAGAGATACTGTAGGACTCTCCGAAAACTTCAGGACAGCTTCCTTCATCGTCAGTAGCGGACATTACCATCTCATCTTGTGGTCTGTCCTGGAGAATTTGAAGATCTGTGCTTTTTTCTGACAATCCTGGAGAAAGATAAACCTCAGGACTGCTCTCAGCAACCGCGTCGGTGGACATTACCACCGGATCTGGAGCAGGTGGAAAACCAAGGCTGGAGGATGAGCTTTCGTCAACAAGTTCCAAATCTCTTGTGTCTCCCGACAAACCTGGAGATATACTGCAGGTCTCCTCAAGGACATCCGGATCTCTCTCTACAACATCAACCATGGACATGTCGTCCCCATCTCGAGCGGCAGCAGCACCTGGTCCTCCGTCCAACACTGCTGGAACAATGACTTCTTGAACATTTTCAGCTATTGCTTCAGTAGTGATGGACACAGGAAGATCCACTGTCTGGCTGTCTTCTGATACAGAAGAATAACTTGAGGCTGCTATTATTTCTGAAACTTCAAATTCTCTCTGATCTTCAGATAACTCTTTAGAGATACTGCTGGAATCCTCAGATTCTTCAAGATCCTCCTCTTTAACCTCAAAGGTGGAGAATTCCATCTCTTCCTCAGCAGAAGAAACTGTAAGAACTTCATCATGCTTCGCAGAAGTAACGGATGCATCAGGAGGGCAGGTGGGCAGATCAGGGGAGGCTGTTTTGATGCTCTCTTCTTCTCCTGTAGGTTGGCTGGAAGGTCTCAACACAGATGCCTCAGCATCTTCTGGAGAAACACCACTGGTGACATGGTGAACTTCTTCAGAGCACACGTCCACTGGCTCATACGTGGATGTTTGAATGTTATTTTCACCAAGAAACTGAACAAAATCTGGAGTAGCTGGAAGGACAGGACTGGTTTCCTCCTGCATTTCTGAAGAAATATCTGCTAACTCAAAGGTAAGTGTGTCCTCCTGTATTACTGCAGAGGCACTTGGGATTTCAACTACGTCAGTTACGTCAGGTAGGGTATAATCAGTCGTTTCCTCGTCCTTCTCTTCTCGAGCTTCTGAAACCTCTCCACGCTGCGGTGAAGAATCCTCTGACCGACTTTCAAAAGAGGTATCCAAAGACTCGTCTACCTTTGTCATGGTGACAGGACTCAGTGGGCCCTCTACTTCATGTTCATATTTGGCACGTTCCTCTGAATCCCACTCTTGGACCGTCTGCGTCATGACACTCACATCCGTTGTTGTACATTCAACAATCTGCGTCAATCCCACGTCAATCATTCTGATTCCCAGGACCAAATCTGTTTCTTCCGTCGCCTCACCAACTGCAGGAAGATCTTGATCCTCACCCATGGTAACATCAGTGCTGACATAGGCAGCACGATCGAACACTGCTGAAGAGGCAGCTATGGAGGCATCTTCAGCTACAGCACCATCAGAGATTCCAGTAGGGGGCGACAGAGTCTTTGTGACCTCTGCTGTGGTAGATATAGACTCTGTCTCGTCTTTTTTAGGGAAACTCTGCACCACACTCACCATAGCTGGCAGTAAGCCGCTTATTGCTCCTCCTATTTCAATTTCAACAAACAAAGTTGAGTCAGGGCTAGGACTCTTCTCTGAGAGGAGTTGTTCTTCCCTGCTGTCTTCTGAAATATCACCACACTGGGATTTAGTAGATGCTGCTCTCTCAGTGAAGAAGGCATCTAGGTAGTTATCCACCTTCTGTATTGTAACTGGACCAAGTGTGTTCGTCTGCTCACCATCCTGAGACATGGAACACTCCTCAGAGTCCCACTGATTAACCAGTCCTATTAGCTCATTCACATCCCTTGTTGCACGTGTAACAATGTGTGCTAACTCGGTGCCTAAGTCGGTCTCAGCTGTGCCCTCGGCGGCGTCCCAGGTATCAGTCTGACAAAGGTCACTGGTCAATGCTGAAGTGGTAGGTGGTGGGGAGGGACTGGAATGCTTTATCTCTCCTTCATCTAATCCAATTCTAGACCCTTCCAAAGCTTCGTCGTCATTACCTGGTGACCTGGCTGTAGGGATAGCAGGGGTCTCCTCCACTGCCACACAGCAACTCTCTGTGACCACAGGAGTGGGAGATTTTCCCTCATAATCATCAATAGTACTGGGTACAGCATCAAGAACAACTGCAAAATACTGCTGTTCTTCTGACAGAGCCAGAGGAGTCAGGCAGATCTCCTCTAAGTCGTCAGCACTGCTCGCTGCACCGTGACTAGTTGATAATTTATCTGTCATAGCTGCGCCCAAGCCTGGTTGAATATCCTCAACTGCTGCTTCTGTTGTTGTTACGTCATCTTCAACAAGGGATGGTGCGGAAACAGAAACTTGGGAATCTCCGTCTTTGTCTGACAAACGCAGAGGGATGCCGGTCTCTTCAGGTGCTTCAGTGCTGCTTCCTTCAGCCGGAAGAGTTGGCGTTTGTGTGTCATCACTAGCTGTGGAAGTGGCAAGTGCATCCAAATCTGTAGCGTTTTCTGGAGATATCCCACCGATGTCAGAGTGACTTTCTACTTCCATCTGGGACGAGGGTCCCCAGTCACTCTGTCCCCAGTCACTCACCTTCCTTTCATCCCAGGTCAAGGTGTTCAAAGCTTCATCTCTGTTGGTTGCTACAGGTAGCACAGGGGAAACGGCTTCGTCTTCAGCTGAAGTCTTTGTAAAAAAGGATTCTGAATACTCCTCAACCTTCTGCCTGGTGTCTGGACCAAGACTTCGTTCATCTTCATCATCATCATCATCATCACCTTCCTCCCGGTCAGGGGCCATTGGTGTCACATCACTGTCGTCTCTCTTTGTCCTTTCAGCGACCTGATCTGTGAATCCCATATCACTGGACTGAGGTTCTTGTACCATGTCAGTCGTTACCTTGTTTTCAGCTGAAGCACTGAAGACCTCGGAGCATATCTCTTCAACAACAGGGGGAGCAATTTTACCTTCAGGATCAGCCTTCACAAATCCATCCAACAAAGTCTGAGCAAAAGCTTTAAAGTTGCCATCACTTTTTATATCACAGGACACAGGAGAACAGATGTCTTTGTCCTCTTCCTGTTCCCTTTTGTAGCTTGATGCCGGTCTGACGTCACTGACCTCAGGTTCTTTGCTTTCTTCGGGTGCAGCTGGGAGGAGTTTAGGACTTTGTGCGATAGCCTCTGCACAGATTTGTTCCACATCAGGTGGGGGTGTTTTTGAGCCAGGTTCAGCTCGGACAAACTCATCCCGTAAAGTTTTGGCAAACTTCGAAAGAATGTCTTCCTGTTCATTCATAGAAGATAAAGATGAAACTGCAAACGTTGTTCTCACACCGTCCTGTAAATCACTGCGTGGCTCATCCTCAGGAACTGAAATCTGCTCCAAAGACAGATACGGGCAAGGCTGGTTGTCATCTGTTACTGCGGCAGTTTGGCTGCCGTCATCTATTCTGACAGATTGGCAGGACAATGGTCTACACTCTGGAACATCGACACCTTCAGTTTCCTCTTTGACTGGAGAGGCACCGTAATCCTCCCCCAGAAACTCAGGAGAAGTACCTGCTTCCTCCAAGTTGGATAGTTCAGCCTCACGTTCAAGAATAGTACTTGGAGCTTCGTCCACTGTGGCTGGAGAGATGTCCTGCTGGGTGACACCAGTTACTGAAGCAGGTAAAGCCAGTGCCTCCAAGACTAAATCTTTGTTATCCTCCAGCAACACTGGAGAGATGCTCGGGGCGTCCTCTTCCTCGAACACAGGTGGAACATCTCCTGGTAGAGCGTTCTCACCAAGTGCCTTAGTTGGTACAGACAAATCAGGGCTCAGTTCCTCTGATATGACAGATTGGACCGAGGGTGGCAGGTTGGACGGTGCTTCAGGATTGTCCAAACTGGCAGCCTCTACAGTTATAGGTTGACAGAACTGACTGGTTCCCTCCTCAGTGTATTGTACTGCTCCATCCTTACTATCACTACTTGACATATCATCCAGCATAGCTGGAGAAGTGACCAGTAAAGTTTGGTCCACTGACTGACTCCAACCTGACACAGGTGATCCTGTGTCAGTGACTCCAACCTCTGCCACATCTGGTGAGGTCTCAGAGGTTTGACAACTGTCTGGGAACTCAGGGCTGGATGAGTCAGACTCCTCTCTAAAAGACGTACGTGGAACCCCATCCAGAGTGACTTCATCAATGAAAACTTGGTTGTCATCAGACAATGCTGCTGGGCTGGGAGCAGGGGAAACAGCAGGAGGCGTTACTCTCCTCCCCTCCAACTCCATAGATTCACTCAAGGATGGTCTTGTCTCAGAAACCTCAGCGTCTGCCACAGCTGGGAAGCTCTTGACCTCATCAAAAAGTTTAGGGGGGTCTTCCACCCCACGGGTTTCTAACTCATCTTCAGTAGCAGTACTTGGAACCTCGTCCAGTACTGTTGCAGTGACTCCAGGTTGGGCGTCATCAGTCGATGCTTCAGATGGAAATGGTGAAACTATTTTCATGCACTCGTCCGATCTCGCAGACTGGCTCGACGATGACTCTGGTGCTTCAGTCTCAGTGTCTTTTATGGTCTCATAACAACTGCCCCCTTCCTCAAGGGGGGACTTGCTCTCCCCTCGTACAGCAGGTGCACTGTGAACTTCAACAGCTCTGATGTCTGTTGTTATGACAGCAGGTTGAGCTAAAACAAGTACACCTGGTTCTACATCGTTTGTTTTGGTAAATGGACTACAGGGCAAACTGCTCTCAAGTACTTCAGATTCTGTAGTATCTTCTGAAACAGCAGAGGAAACACTAAGGGTGTCCCTGAAGCTCTCCGAGTTACTGTCACCGACGTCCAGAGAGAAGGCGTCCTCCTCCTCAGTTTTACCTACAACACTACCAACCACATTCAACATGGCAGGAAGGAAGCTCCGTATGGCTTCAATTATCTGCGTTGTAGTAGCTGGAGAAAGAGTTCTCCTCCTCTGAGCATCTCCTCTACGTCCAGAGTGTTCCCCCCCTTCTTGGAGCTCCCGGCAATGTTCCTCAGCAAATGCAGACCTCCTTGCGAAAAACCAGTCCAGATATTCATCAACCCTCTGCAATGTGGCCGGACCCAGCGTGGCCCTGTCCTCCTCGTCCTCTAGCATAGCACATTCTTCTAAATCCCAGTGGTGGACCATCTGCATCATGTGATTCACATCCCTCCTTGCCCGCTCAACGATTTCATTCAGAACGACATCGATACAGTCGATGTCAGGCAAAGACTCCATTTCCTCAGTGGTTGAAGACTCGTCATCTGTTGCTGTTACCATTGTGTGGTTTTCTTCGATGGACTTCATAAATACTGTGAAGAAACAGAAACAAAGAATCAATGTCACCTGCGGTGGCTCAAACTGGGGTTCTCTGGCATGTTGACATACTGTACGTAGCGCTGTATCACTACCTGCTTTTACTTACGTCATGTCTTTTTCGTTGTCATGTCCTACGATCAGTCGACATCCACGACGTTGCAGCAAGGTCTTGTTTTACCCTTGGTTCTTCTTCTTGGTCGGTTGTTGTTGGTTTGTTTATGGACAACTTGCATCCGTAATGTTGCATTACTGCCTTTTCTGGATTTCTATTTCCTTTGCGATTCCAAAATCAGGTGGTGTGTTTTATCGGATTAGCCAAACTGCCTTGATGGTGGTGGTGGTGGTGGTTACATTTGCAGTTTTGCATTACTACCACCTACTGGAATAAAATCGGTACATCTTGATTCCCTTGGCTCTCTGTCTCTGCTCCCTGTTCTCATACCACCATTAAGAGTTAGACGGCAATCAGCTTCCATAATGTTTCACAGCTGACTGTTCCATGTTTCCTCTTTCTGTCCTGCTGGTGTTTTTTTTTTGATAAAAGGACATGTCTGTCCTGCTGGACAGACATGTCCTTTGGACTTCAACCCTCCTCTCCTTTCATCTTCAGCTCCCCAGTGATGTCATTTCATCATGTAACTTTTACACCAGTGGACACCAGTTAAAAACATGGATAATTATTAAAAATGTTAGCCAACAGTGAAGTTAATGTCAAGACAAAAACTACAACACAGAAATAAAGAGTATTTGACATGGGTGAGAAGCTTCTACATTACCTCTCCTGTTGGTGGGTGACTGTAGGGAGAGAAGTGGAGGGCCACACTAAACAAACAAACAAAGGTGCTGTGAATTAAACCTTTTATTAGTTTTACCCCCGTATATTAAAATAAAAAAGTTTCTACACATTTTTTACCATTTTTAATACATACGGTCAAAGTGCCTTGCAGAGGAAAGGCCTAGAAAAAAAATCTGTTGTTGTAAAAGAAAGAAATATTTCCCATTAAATAGTAACAGCAGTTGATGGTCAATTTTATCTCTGACATAAAAATTAACAGTTTTCTGATGCTCATTTCAGTTGAACACATTTTAAATTCATATATTTATCTGATAACTACAGGGACACGCACACACACACAAGATCTTCAGCTGGGAGAAGTGAAGAATCTCTTGCCTGGTTCAACTCGAGTGCTGAGGAGACAAATTTAAATAAATCACAATCACTGATTTTCTCTATGGACTTTGGTCTGAGCTAAAATCACTGATTTTCTCTATGGACTTTGGTCTGAACTAAAATCACAGATTTTCTCCATGGACTTTGGTCTGAACTAAAATCACTGATTGTCTCTATGGACTTTGGTCTGAGCTAAAATCACTGATTTTCTCTATGGACTTTGGTCTGAACTAAAATCACTGATTTTCTCTAAGGACTTTGGTCTGAACTAAAATCACTGATTTTCTCTAAGGACTTTGGTCTGAACTAAAATCACTGATTTTCTCTATGGACTTTGGTCTGAGCTAAAATCACTGATTTTCTCTATGGACTTTGGTCTGAGCTAAAATCACTGATTTTCTCTATGGACTTTGGTCTGAACTAAAATCACAGATTTTCTCCATGGACTTTGGTCTGAACTAAAATCACAGATTTTCTCCATGGACTTTGGTCTGAACTAAAATCACTGATTGTCTCTATGGACTTTGGTCTGAACTAAAATCACTGATTGTCTCTATGGACTTTGGTGTGGGAGGAGGCTAGTGTGTACAGTAAACTACTTTTCTGGCAGCCATGTTCTTTCCAGAGTGAGTCGCCATTATCTTACGTGTTGGTGAACGCGTTGCCCATATTCCTGATTCTTCCTCTCACTGTCCCACTGTTTTGACTTCTTTGATGACTGTTTATCTCAGGTGACGTCAAAGGCTGAAACAGACGATCTGAAAGACGAACAAAAACAGTTCCCGCTGGTAACTGGTTGTTTTTACCATGTATCAACATAATTTGGTGTCTCATCTTTGTCGAAGACTGTAAGGTTCTGGTTCTGTTTGTAAGGCACTCTCTCACTAAGCTGAGCTCCATTTAGTTTGTACCACACAGCTGACAGCAGTGACACAAACTGTCAACAGGAGGCAGCAGTGGACCAGCAGCTGCTGTGTTGCACCAAGGTAAAGTCCTCTATAGAACTAGCCATAGAAACATGAAGGGATTAAAAAAGTTGGGTTAAATGTTTTGGTTAATGGGGTGTGAACGCGTCGACAGGAAGGTGGACATTTTTCAAAAACCTTAGTTTCTGGATATTTGTGCTCGTTGTGACATTTGGTTCCTGTTGTTCCTGTGAGAACACTGCTGTGAAACATGGGTCACTACACACCAGGTCCAAGACCCTCATCATGACTGAGGGTCTTCTTGTTAGAGGACGGTGTTGGTTCTGTGTTTCCAGCGAGGACACGTCTCCAGTAGTCTTCAGGGAGCGACAGAAAACGACAAACAACCTGAGGACAAAAAATGACTTGTGTATTTGAGGTTTGACGATTCACAAACTTGTGTGAAGTTTGGTTCTTTGTTTCGGACTGAACTGATGCTTTGGAATCTCTGACTGTTTTAGTCATGACTTTGATGCCTGTACCTTTTTGTTTTCCTATTATTATCACGTGGTTCTGGGTATATTTTACTTTAAACCGTGTACCATGTTACTCAAGAGGAGTCCATTGTTTTTGAAGCTGACCTTGGGCTGAGTGTTGGTGTCTCTCATGATGGTATTAGGCGATGGTTCAGACATGCCATGACCAATGATGGTGGGACCAAAGACCCGAGCCAAATTGTTCTGGTCCATCTGACAGCGAGGACTTCGTATCACCCTGAAAAAAAACAATCTAATAGTTTTACCAAAGAATAGATCATACATATGGAAGCTAAATAATGAAAGAAAAACAAGAATAATTAAGCTAAAACAAAAGTAACAGCTTCAATGAAATAATACTTGACAACTCAACTGTCAATTGTTGCCAAATGTAGTCGTGTTAGAAAGAACTGGAAAGTTACTTGTGTAAGTGTAGCATAAGGAAAGCTAGTGTGTCTCTGTTGGCTTTGGGAAGTTCTGCAATGGCCTGGAACATCACAGCTGAGCTGTTGTCCTCATCAGGTAGTTCTGAAAGAGGCAAGAATATGACCTCAGAGGACAGGGTTAGAGATCTAATGACGAGGCAGCAATGGATTAACAACTCCTGTGTCGCTCTAAAATCGACAATTTTTTCTATGGACTTTGTTTTAAATAAAATCACTGATTTTCTCTATGGACTTTGGTGCAGGAGGGTTAGTGGTTTACAAACATTGGTTTAGAAAAATACAGATTTGAGTTTGGAGTCAAACTCAGTACCAGATGCCTCCATGAAGGTCCTGTGCAGCCTGAATGTGATCAGAGGTTCCCTCAGTTTCCTCAGGAAGTCCTTGAGGAGTCCACAGACCACATGGATGTCGGACACTTTACTCAACACCAGGGGAGTCTTTCCCTGAAGGAAACGTTCTCTGAGCTCCTTCACTGGACGCTCACCTCCAGGGACTCGGTACAGTCCTCTCTGAAGACACGTGAAGAGTTGGAAACCAACCAGATCTTAAACTTTTGTGAATCAGCTGCCAAATTAAGTCCATACCAAACCACTGTGAGAAGTCCTCTAATCAAAGAAGCCAGATTCTACCAGAACACTCACCTCGTCCAGGCCCCGCCTCTCGATCTCAGCCACACAGTCAGCGATCAGGCGAGGGACTCGTGGATGAGTCACTGGAGCAAACCTCTCCAAAGAGTCCTGAAGAAGAACCATTCAAACGGATTCACTTTTACTTTGGATAGAGTTGATATTTCACAGACCACAGAACCTTTGTGTTTTCTTCATTTTTCTGAAAATTTTTCTGATTGAAACCAAAGTCACTTTTCTCTGTTTTTAACTTGTGAAATGTCATGAAAAAAAGAAACAACCATGGAGGTTCTGTGTTCTACGGAGGCCTGGATGGACATTTCGCTCTCAGGTTTTGGTGAAGTCAACTACAGCATTCTGAGGTGACAAACCTGAGGCACCTGGTCCTGTGCTGTACTTCCTGTGGGCGTGGCCACAGAGCAGCCGGAGGTGAACTTCAGTTTACACTCAGGATGAGCCACAGTGCGACAGTTCCTGCATTTCACTGCCATCTTCCCAAAACGGATCCTCTTCCCACAAGACTGACACATTTCAGGGCGGATCACCTGCAGGAAGTGGGAAGAATGACATCAGTGTTTTTACTCTGTTTTTTTGTTCTTTGTTTTATTTGACTTATGTTTTTTGACTTATTTTTTACTATATTTTATCTTTCCAATCTTTTCTTCCTTCCTCGTCTCCTTGCTGCCTCCCTTCTTTAAAGTCTTTACTCCATTCCTTCTTTCTACAGTAGTTTTAATCCCGACTTCCCCGTCTTTTCCTGTCACGTTGTCTTCTTTCTTCCTAACTTCTTTCTCTGCGTCTTCTTTTGTAATTGTTTGTAAATATGTTTGTTGTTTTGGTTTATTTACTGTTTTAGAGACGAAGACGTGTTTGTGGATTTTCTCGGCTCTGCCAGCAGGAGGAGCTTTGACATCAACGCTCGGCTCCACAGCAGCTTCACTTTCAGGCTCCGCCATCGTGTCCATCGTCTCGTCTCCAGGAAACCACACTGACGTCTCATCTGAGATTTTAAATACAAATCTTTTATTTATGGGGCGAAAAAGTAAGACTGGAATTGAAGACTGAAGGAAGAAGTGAAGGAAATAAGGAACTACTTTTTCCAACTTTGACCCCATTGAGCGGACTCACCGGCTCCACCTAGTGACACTGCACACTCCTGACTGACGGTCCTGACTGGTCTCTCCAAGGTCTCCTGCTGGGTGATGCCTACAACCATGTGGCTCTGAGCCCCTAAGTCTGGAGTCCTCACTGAGGCCTTCACCACCATCTCCACCTCCTGGAACACACACACACACACACACACGTCACATGACCTGGGCAAACCTCCCCCCACAGTCACTTCAGATGATGGTGATGTCACGGCCCGGACTCTGACCTTCTCCACGGTCTTCCTCTCGGTCAGCTCTGACGTCACGGTACTGCCTCGTCCTCGTTTCACTGGTGGAACCCCCAGAATGGGACCCATGGAGGAACGCTACAGGAACGAGAGTTTGGTTTTTTATTTCATTTTCTCCTTCTTGGTGTGGTGGGCTGCAGCAGCCTCGTCTCCTCACCCTCCTCTCCCTGGCTCGTGACCTCAGGGGTTTCATCATGGGTGCGTTTAGATCCTGCGAAGACAGAAGGAGAACCGTGTCTGGACTGTGACGGACCGGAGCCAAGATCGGGTTGAACCGGTCTGTACCAGGTCGTCATCAGTCCGATCGTAGCTGATGTCCGAGTGGGAGAGGAAGGACGACTCGTCGATGGCCGAGAGTCTGGAGACGCAGAGGGTCAACGTTATTCTACAATCACACCATCATTCACACCATCATTTACACCTGTCACTGTCCTCACATTCACAGTTTGAGACAGCATCGATGAGACGGAGCAACAGCGACACTCTGTGGACAAATATGTGAACTAAGTAATTTAAACTTAGTTAAAGTTTTTTTTTTCAATTACTCACTAATTACAAAATGTTGGTTTGATTGAACTATTTGGGAAGTAACTGTTTTGGTGGGCATTTTTTTGCAGTAATATTTTCTAGTACTGTGAAGTAAATGTTTTCCACACATGTACAGGATTTTATATTTGTAGTAAAGCTAAATGTCTCTTAATTCTAATTCCATTAAATTTTTGTGTTGTTTTTCTAAAGCCAACTTTCCGTTTGTTGCTGCGCTGCACCGTCACGTTTCCTCCGCCTCGGTGTTCAAACGTTGCCAGAAGTGATTTTTGCTCCTCGTTCAAACATGCGCTGGATTTACTGTCGTGGACCAGGATGTCGCACATCAGCTGCATCTGCCGCTGCTGAAACGACAAACAGCAGACAAACAGCAGCGATGACGTCTGTGAACCAGGTGGATCTAGGCTCCACCCCCTGCACCTCCTCCTCACCAGGTACTGGTAGTCGGCCTCCACCTTGTATCGCTTCTTCATCTCCACGTCCAGCTGATTTCGAGCGTGCTTCAGTTTGACCTCCAGCGCAGCTTTGGCCACGTCTGACTTCACCAGCAGCTCCTTGTATTTCTTCAGCTCCAGCTCAGCGTGAAGCCACCGCTTCCTCACCGCCTCAAAGGTCCTCACCACCTCCAACATCTCTGAGGGACAGCGACAGAAACAAAGGAGACAGAGACGTCTTAGAAACAGTGTTCAATCTTAATCCTTCACAGATTTAGTCTGTGTGTGTGTGTGTGTGTGTGTGTGTGTGTGTGTGTGTGTGTGTGTGTTCTAACCCAGCTCAGTGTTCTGAGAGTTTTCCTCAATGCTGATTCTCTGAAGACAGAGTGCAAGCAGCTCTTCAATGATCGCCCTGGTCTCCCCCATCCCTGCTGCAAAGACATTTACATATTTATACATTTACCAGACACTTTTATCAGACAAAGCGCCTCAGGAGGAGGACAACGATCAGGCCACTGAACGGAGAGGAACTCTTGAAAGGAAGCGGGGCTTCTACAGGGCACGGGTGCAGAAGAGCAGACAAGTGGAAAAGGCAAGATGAGGAGAGTGCTAGGACAGGAAGTGACATCATCATCATCGCCATCATCAATGTAGTGACAAAAATTAACTCACTTTTAAAGCCACTCAAGTATTAGCAGCAGGGTGAGAGTACAAATGTGGGGCTTCGTGTATGATCTTCTCTTTGAGTTCTCTAGTTCGAGAATATTCCACAAATGACGCTTCAACTGCTTTAACGATATTTTAACAGTAACGTAATTCACGGTAAAAGTCAAAAAACCTAATCCACTTTCGGACCGGTAATCGCCACTTAAGGGGTCATAGTGCGCATGTGCAGTGCCTCCGGGTGGCCTTGTAGCACAATTGGAAATTTAGCGCAAAGCTAATACTAGCATCGCACACAAATAAAGTATAAACCACACAACGAACATCATCATGTCGTCAGATAAACATGACGTGTTTTACAGCAAAACCACTGAACTTAGTAAAAACAAACGACGAACGTTTGTCGTGCTTTTTTTTTTTTCATTTCGAGTCACTGTTGTTGAGACATTAGTTCCCACCAAATTAAAGTCTTTGATCAGCAGTTTACCTGAGTCTGCCAGTCCAACAACGGCCTAAAATCCGGCTCAGATCCAAACACAACCAAATCAATCGATCAATCAAAGCTGGCCTATGGGCTGCAGCCTGTGTTGGTCACGTGCTCATTCAAAGTCAACGAGCTCAGGCGAACACCTGGGCGTCATCGCGTCCACAGCCTTTCACGAGCTCCCCTGAGACTTTCACGTGCGCAGCAGAAAGTTGTATTTTTTCCCCGTTATTTTCTATTCGTCATCTGTTAATGTACACACGGCGCCGGTTGACATGATGAATTTTAGTAGATTTAAAAGTATTCTTAATGAAAACAAAAGGCCACAAACAAACATTTATACTACACAGTATTCACACACATTTAACCACAGAGGATCGTGCATTTTAATGCTTTATTATTTTTTAAAATATTTTAGGTCTATTTTAGTTTATAATTAATTTAAGATTTGGGTATTTTTTGCATAATTATATGTTTAATGTCTGTCGGTTTCGGCTGAATGAGTGTTCGATTATGTTGTGTTCAAAGACCTTTAATTCAGCGTTGATGTTTTTGTACTCTTTCAGTGTCCTTATCTCCCGTGTAATAATAAAGCTCTGTGAACACTATTGTACAGTTGTGTTATAACACTGGTGTGTGTGTGTGTGTGTGTGTGTGTGTGTGGGGCTGTACGGTGGCCGTGTGGGCTCATAAACGCCTCCCTCAGTGTAGCAGTAATAATGGAGGGGGTCACAGTCGGACAGGTATTTGATGCAGAATGCATCCTCAGCAAACGGCCTAGGAAGGTAAGAAACGGCGACAGTAGAGACTGCATTTGTAACTAGAGGCTGCGGTTCGATTCCCCTGACTCTGTTTTATGTCTGTCTACAGGGGAAGTTTGAATATCTGGTCAAATGGAGAGGGTGGTCGTCCAAGTAAGTAGTGTTAGCTTTAGTAGCTTAGCCTAGCTTCGCTTAGCCTAGCTTAGATTAGCTTCCACTAGCTCCATCCAGACACTGGTTCAGAGGAGAGAAGACAATGAATCGAAGTGGATTCAGAAACGTATAAAAACATCAGCCGATGCGGTTTTAAACCCAGATGCAGACACAGAGCAGCGGACACAGCTGTGGAGCCGTCCCGGTCACCTGAACGTCTCACCGGATAAAAGCTTTATTCAGGCTCCTGTGTGAGGCGTTCACTGACCCACACTGATGGCACCGCATCAATATAATGTTTGATTTTGTACAGTATTATCTTTCCCACATCGCGGTTGAAACTTACAATGTAATATTGTCATTTTCACACTTCGCCGTGCGATGTTTTCTTCATTTTTTTATCATAATGATCGTTTCTAATGGTGCTATTTTTTTTAAATAAAAATAAATTTACATTTTAGTGGAAAGTACAAATAGCAACAACAAAGACATATTAGACATACATTGGTAACGTCGTTTTTAACAAGTGATGATATTACAGCATGTAAAAATGAACAATATAGCACAATAACAGACTTCAAAATAAAACCTGTTACACACTTATACCGCAGGGGGCACTCACAGTGCAGTAAACAATCATGGTGCTTGAACTGAAAGTTCCCTGCAGGGCCACACTTAACCGCAACCCCAGAGTTTAACAACAACAGTTGACCTTTGTCCTGTTTGTTGTATTGATTGATGGATTATTTTCAGACACAACAGCTGGGAGCCTGAAGAGAACATTCTGGACCCTCGGTTACTGGCGGCATTTCACAAAAGGTGAATTTGTTACTTGTGTTTCAGCACAGCAGTGTTGTAGTTTAAAGGCTCAGTGGTGTTGATCAGGTTTCTGGTTTCATCGGTTTACACAGAGAACAAGAACGAGAACTGCTGTTCCAGACTAAAGGAAAACGCCCGCGAGGACGACCTCGAAAGATCCAGGTAAACCAGTCACTGGTTCTTCAGGTGTCACGTTGGTTCTTCTTCTACCCTCAGCTTCACAGATTCTTTTGCTTCCTGTTACAGCCGACACCACCCACAACCAAAGACAGCCGCTCCTCGTCCTCGTCCTCCTCCGGCCTCTCGTCGTCAGCGTCCTCTTCAGAAGATGAAGACCCTTCCAAGAAGGCAAAGCCAACTCCCCGGGTCCACCCAGTCCCACAGAAGAGGCCACAGATCCTGCTCGCCAAACCAGACCACAAGAAGAAGCGTGGGCGAAAGCCCCTGCACCCAGACCTGAAAGCCCTCCGACAGGCCAAGAGCAAATTGCCTCCTCTTTCTCCTCCTCCTCCGCCTCCTTCTCCTTCTCCCTCTTCCCTTCCTCCTCCTGGACTTGCTGCACCTCAACGGCACCACCCGTCAGTCAGGCCGTCCAGGGAGGAGCTGCGGGCTGGGGTGAAGAAGCCGCTGCAGCCTGCCAGCTTCACCTACACCGGTCTGGGCAGGACGTCGAGGAACGAGGCCAGTTCTGCCTCCAACAGCGCCTTCGTCCAGTCGGTGTCGCCAAAACCCGGAGCGCTGAGCTGTGCCTGGACCAATCGCTCTCTGTCCTCTCCCTCTCCTGGCTCCTCCCACAAAGCCACGCCTTCAGCTCAGAGTAAGCACATGACGTCAGAGCTAAAGTCCAGCAGCAGGAGTGACGGCTTCAAGACGTCTCCACTCAAACACGGCAGCGGAACGTCGGGGTCTGGAAGTCTGCACGGAACCTTTGATAGAGCAGCTATTTCCCAGCGTTCCCAGTCGAACCAGCGGAGGCAGGATGGAGTCAGCGCTCAGACTGGGTCTGGACAACACAAGCAAATTCCACAGATTTCTTCACCCAGAGACCGAGCCAATCAGGCGTTGAGTCTTCGCGCCCTAAATCTGCAAAGTGTCAGTCGGCCGACATGTGGCGCCGTCTTTCAGGGCAACAACACAGGTGGCGCCGCAGTGTCCAGGTCCAGCTCAAGGAGCAGCGGAATCATGGTAAAAAGTGGAGTTAAAGACGGTCGGCCCTCGTCTTGCGGGCAGCGATCTGGGACAAACATGGTTGTGGGCGAGCACATCAGAGGAAAGGAGGTGACACCAGGAGGGGGGGCCAGCCGGGGGAACGGAAGCAGCGCGAACCGCAGCCTAAACGAGCTGAGCACTGGAGACTCAGACGAGACCAGCAGCAGCGAATCAGAGCAAGGCGTCCCTCTGTACCCAGCAGCCAACAGTCGGCCTAGCCTGGGCAGCAGCACCGCCGACTCGGACACAGAGACGGATTGGCGGCCGGCACGCAGCCTCCTGGAGCATGTGTTTGTCACCGACGTCACAGCCAACTTCATCACAGTGACAGTGAAGGAGTCACCGACCAGCGTAGGCTTTTTCAATTCACTGAACCACTAGGGGCGCTGGTGACACTAGGCTACCTCTCCACAATCCTTCTACCACAGCTGCCAAGGTTCTGACCAGAACCCTCACTTTTCCAGAATTCCACAGAGACTGGTGGAGTTCTGTCTCCTCCCTGTTCACAGAACAACGTCCTGTCACTTCATGGAATAAGACGGCATTTATAATGGTGGTGTGTTTATGGCGCCCTCTGCTGCATCCTACTCGATGTTAGATGGTGTGTTGATATTGTAGGATCCTTTGTTCAACTTCAAACCTTAAAATTCCAAATTTTAAACATTTAATTTTTTTTAAAGCAAACGTGTGTCTAACCTTCAGGAGTTTTTCCACGTGTTGAGGAGCAGAGCAGACGACAGGAGCCAGAGTTTGAGCCTCCACACACACCTGATGATAAAGGCTGTGCCTCGGATAGTTTTGATGTTGTGATCTTGTTCCGCATACATCGCAGACGTGAATGTACGATGAAAAACGACAGAAAACTGAAGGTGTGGACACGACACGGTTGTTCACCGAAGTCCACAGAAAAAATCCCTCTTTTCTGTCTGCAGGGCTGTTTCACAAACTGGCCACAGGAGGCAGCAGAGCACCAGCAGCTCCAGTGTGCCTGTGAGCTATAGTCAGTGATTTTCTCTCTGGACTTCTGAGCAGCGCAGTGGACAGTTCCCACAGACAGGAGAAGTCGACCAACAGTATTATGATTAAACTTCTCAGTGTTAAAAAAAATCATTAGCTGCGCTTCACTTCTTGTTAATGGTTGCATTTAGGATACAGGAAAAGTGTAGGTCGAATGTGTCTCAGTCAACGATGTAAACATGCAGATGGATGTATGACTCCGCCCCCTCAGTGCCTCAGGTTCTCCTCACATCAGCGAGTCGCTCTCCATCTGCTCGCTGTTGGTCAGAAATGTAAAGAAAGGAGAAAAGTTTTATTTTTTTTTTTAAATCTGAAGAGAAAAGAGAGAGAGAGAATTATTTTACTTTTCTTCGTTGTCGTCGTCTCTTTGGACCAAAGGTGTTTTTTTCCTCCACCGTCTCTGTTCTTATTATCGATGGTTTGCACAGATCCATGAAGCTGACTCTTCCTCCTCTTCATCACTGAAAAGACATTTCACACTTTTATACAGTTTGAAAACCTTTGTCGACTCCTTTTCTGACACTTCATGTTAATTTATATTTTACTGTACATATATGTTGATGTTTTTCCATGTGATTGATCTGGTGCTCGTCACAGACACGATTATTCCAAATAAACCATAAATCGTTACTGTGTACCTTTTCACTTCCACCAGCAGGTGTCGCCATTGAAGTCCAGATTAGGGCTGCAAGGATCGGAGAACTAGAATTCACAGTTGTATTTCATTTTGTAAATATAAATATTTCAGGAATTTCTCTCTTTATCTTTTTTTTTTCAATCCAAACAACATTTAAACGTGTTAATTATCGTTCCTTTCTTTCTACTGAAACATTATAAACATTTGGAGATGATTATCCTGAATCAGTGGTCTATTATTAATGTCTGTGCCAGTTCGACCCCATAAATCAGTGTTAGTTTAGTGAGAGTGTGACATCATTGAGTGATGTGATGTCAGAGTAACTGAGTAAATGTACTTAGTTACACAAACAACACACCTCGTCAGTGTGTATGTGTGTGTGTTGATTTATGGTCACAGACGTGGAATTTTCCCAAAATAAGTTTGAGTAAACAGCAGTGACAGAGGAGCCTCACAGCAGCAGCTGGTATGTGTCAACAGTGTGAACAGTGTGGGGCAGTGTGTGCGCACACACACACACACACACGTGAACATACGCACAAACAGTGCGTCCAAGTACACATTTACTTTTTACTGTTATGTTTTTTGTTTTTTACAGACAAAGGTAATTGAGATAAACGCCGACACTTTGCTGCCCTCTCTGGCTGGTGCACAGATAACAAGATGTCTAATTGCAGATCAAATTTATGCAAGGTGAAAACCACGTGAAGATCACAGATGAACAACAGAAATGAACGAAACTCATGGGGGCGCTCTATCAACTTCTTATAATCACAGTTCAGGGCAACGAAACATGAATAATTAAAGATTCAGCAGCGTGGCGAGACACTCTACTAATGCTCACTAAATAAGCTAGCATGAAGGCGCAGCTAAAGTTGGCCAAACCATCAGTTGGTGGTTAGCTTGTAAATATAACTATCACATGTGGGAAAGTATAAGAAAGAAGCTAAAGTTAGCCTTGCTGCTCCTTTGATGTCAGTTAGTGTCAGAAAAAAGCGAACAACTGTTGGCCAGACAAAAATAATGTAAAACAGCGTACGAAATTATCTAGCACAGGGATCATCTCTGAGGTCAGCTACCATTGGAGTGAAGCTTAGGTTAGCCAAACTATTAGGTAAGTTAACTTCATCTTAATGTTTTTACACCGTCTATTGTTCTATTGTCAACTCATATCCAGAATAAACTTTACGAACAGAGAGAACCCGTTTCACAGGCAGAACGTCGTTATTTCACATCATTGTTCTGACTTTTATTTATGGCCTTTAAATCCACTGGAAGCTGAAATAATAAATCATGGTTATTACAGACGACTGACTTTAGTCTAGGATTAGCTCACAGTGCTGTGTGTGTGAGTGTGTGTGTGTGTGTAGACAGTGGCAAACGCCTGTCTCCTCTCACCACAGTGAAAACCCTGAAAACGTCTCAGTGTGACATCCGACTGCCTCCAAGTCCCGAGCCCCGCCCCTTCTTCACGTGGAGATCAAAACAGCTTTCTCCTGGAGTTGAGTCACACACACACACACACACACACACACACACTCTACCAACAAACTCCACAGAGAAATGTATTAATTTTAGCTCAGGAGGACACGGGAGCTGCTGCTCCACTGCTGCCTCTTGTGGTTAGTTTGTGTCATTGTGGTAAATCTCAATAATTATTTCTTTTCAATAGCAACACCAGAATGACAAAATACCACATTTGGACGAGCTAACAGAGGTTAACGTCTCCAGTGTACTGAGGATTAGATTTATTGTCTCATTCCTCGTTAAGAAAAAGGCGGAAAAACAAGACACAAGGCAGGAAACATATAGAGACAATAGGAAAGATATAGACTTTAACTGGCAAAGAATTTATTGGGGTTAAAGTTGTGGTTAGGCAATAGGGGGCGCTCACAGAACACTGAGTATAAGCTTTGCACACAACACCATGTCAAACAAACGTTGAATTGTCCTTTAAATATGAAATTAAAGGTGACATTTAGTTTAGAATTTTTATTTGTTTTAAAAAGACGACGAATTGAAAAATAAATATCTTCACGAGGAAATAATAAAAATGACAGAGTCTGAGGTTATGTTGTTCATCAAGCAGCATTGTCCCTTTTTATTTTACACTTGACGTCACTGAACGCCTCAACGGTTTCATTTCTTATTTCCACAGAAATCACTTTAAATGTCATAAATACTTGAAGCTGATTATATTAACTCGTGACACTGACCTTCATTTGTACAAAGTCATCAAATAAAAAAAAACATATACATCAAATATACATCCTGTACTGTATAAAACATACATCATACGCGTTTCCTCAAATGTAAATTCCCACGTAAATATCTTTGAATCTGTGTGAAGTCACTGCGTATAAAAATAATACTATAAAAGAATTCCCGTGTTTGGAAGGAGGCAGAATTCCCACTCTCCTCTTCTTCCTCCCGGTGAAGAAACTGCAGATGAAGAAGACACTTCCTGTTGAATGGTTTGTACTGTCCCTTTAAGAGGTGTTTTGTCAACAACAACAACAACAACATTTAGCTCAAACTTTTTGTTGGTGAGGTTTGGAGTTGCACCAAGCTTTTTGGCAATACCCCTTCACTCCAGCAGGGGCCTTCACTCTGATGCCCTTGGGCTTCTCATTGGTTCCACTGTTCCTCGAAGGGCATCCCAACTGTGGGGCCAGCTTTGTTTGAAGTTTGTTTGAAGTTTGTTTGACGTTGGTAGACAACCTTCTGGATTCCAGATGTGGACCGCTGAAGTTGGAAAGTAGAGTGAGGATGATGTCATCGTCCCGTGTTCAATGCATTTGGATTTATCCCAAAAAGGCTTTGCCATATTTCGTAAACACTGCAGTGTGCACCTACAGGGGGCAGCGTTGTTGTCCCTGGTGTTCTTACATCAGTAACTGTACACCCAACATTTGGGCCGTTCCTAATTCATGGACGTTGGCCATGTTTGTCTCGACGTAAAAGCTACAAAACATGAACACTAGGGGGCAGCATGCTGATTGGTCCATCGTTACTGTGAGGATGTGACGGCGATGAAGGTGGATGTCAAACCTTGGCTCCATTTTTACACAAAATCTGTTTGTGTCCATGGAAACATTTTAAAGTCCTAGCTTATGGTTACTGGTGGCGCTGTTGAGTTTGTGAGAAGGCGTTCGGAGTTGAATCTTACAGACCAGTCGACAACGTCACATTTAACGTTCATGTTTTCTTACAAGTATAAAAAAACCCGGTGTCAGTTGGGACACGAACACTTGCACTCAGAGATAATGGGGTACTGTACCGGGATCCAGATGCACCTGAGAGCGCCCCTTCTGTTCAGGCAGCGCCAGCGCAGCACAGTGACGTGCATGGACTTGGCCGGTTTGCACATCATCCCCTCCGGTACCGAGCAGGACCTCTTTGTGGAGCAGCTGCCCACTCTGACGTAGCGGGGCCAGAACCGAATCCCCAGGTCGGTCCAGGCGTGGACCACTGGGCACAGAGCGTAGGACCAGAGCCAGAGCTGCAGCTTCCTCCGCAGCTTCCTGCTCGGCTTCTGCTTCTTCCAGGGATGCAGCTCGAACTCCATGGCTCGGATCTCTTTGGGCATCGCCGTGAGTTTCTGCCGCAGCTCGGCGTCGCTCCACGGCGCGTCCTCGCCCCCCGCGGGTCTGTCCTCGGGCGCGGACACGGACATGTAGAGAGGGTCAAAGTGGTTTCCCAGTATACTCCGCAACTCGGTCTCGTTCAGGTCCTTCTCCTTGGGGTCCAGCTGCGGGTCCGGGTCCTCCTTCAGCTCCAGCACGGGCAGAGAGTCGCTGGGAATGGGACGCAGCAGGTAGAAGTGTTGGCACGCGCCCTGCTCGATCCTGACGCCCAGACAAAAAAGCAGAACCAGAACCGTCAACCAGCAACAGGGCTGATCCATGTCCTCTGAGCGTCCTGGCTCCGCGCAGGGTCAGGGTCCAGTGGAAATCCTACTCCAAACTCAATAAAAACTGATCCAGAACTAAATCCAAGTCGGCGTCAGAGCGCACAGACGCACCGGCACCAGCTGACGCCAGTCCTACACTAGTCCAGACAGTCCCAGCTCTGCAGGGCTGCAGGGTCACACACACAGAGTCCCGCACCTCCACCAACACTGTCCATGACCCGGCTCTCAGGCCAGAACCTCCACGGTCTCACAGACCTGCGGAGCCCGAACCTCACTGCTCTCTGTCCGCATGTTGGCGCTGCGGCTCCCGCTGCTGAAGTGAAGGAGCCGCGGAGACGAGAGTGAAATAAAGAGGGGAGTGATGATGTAAGAAGACCACACACACACACACACACACACACACACACACACACACAGGACTAATATACAAACCCAAATACCAGAAAACTCGGTCCACCTCCTGAAGATCCAGTCAAAGTCAAACGTTTATCAGACAGAAGGACAAAGACGTCCATTGTTTTCACTCCCAAACTTAAAAAGACATTTATTTCTGAGTTCATCACGGGGTCACGACCCTTTTCTTTTCACCACAGCCTGAAAACCAACAGTTCTGGTTTTCTGCTCTTTATTCTTTATGATTCTTTTATAAAGACCTGGAGCAGCTCCACAGTCAGCGGTCACATGGTCACCTGGTCACCTGGTCACATGGTCACCTGGTCTGATGGTGCTGCTGACAGATGTGGACTATGAGCTTCAGGACCTGGTCCAGACAGGATCACAGGTCAGCTACAGCGTCCTGTGCAGATCCTCCAGGTCAGGTCTACAGACCAGCACAGAGACTAAGACTGGAGCTAAAACTCTGGTGCATGTGAGTCAGGATGACACAGAGTGAACAACTGAAGTCTGGGTCACGTGTTCCTGTTCCTGTCTTTGTCTGGACCTGGACTGGGTCTTAGCACTGACCTGATGTTTGTCTTCATCGGGACCAGGTTCAGACTCAGGGAGTTTCTGGGATTTAAACTCCTCACAGTTCGGTTTGTTACATTTGTTACATTTAATCGTGTTATTCTTGATTGAGGATTGAGAGTGGAGCTGGAGTTAATCCCAGAAGTCATCAGGTGAGGGCGGGCTTGCAGCCCTCCACCACTGGGTGAAATATCAACAACCATTCACACCTGTGGTCAGTTTAGAATGAAAATACACAGAAATGCAAACGGGAAGAGCAGCAGTGAGGAATCAAACCTGTGACCTTGTTGCTCTACGGCAGGAGTATTAACCGTCCTTCTACCATGTGACGCCACATTTGTAACATATTTCATGGTTTTGTTGTTCTCTAACCTTTTCTCCTGACCTCTGCCCTTGTCCGTCCTCCTCCTCCTCCTCCTCCTCTTCACCCTCCTTCTTTTTCTCCTCCTCCTCCTCCTCCCTCCTTCTTCAGGGTCAGTTTATATTTGGGGGTAATTTTCTGCCTGATGCGACGTGTGTGACGGGCGCCTTTTAAACTGTCACATCTCTGTGGACAGGAAGTCAGATAAGGCACTTCCTGTCTCTTGAAAAATTTCAACCTTTTAATCCTTCACTCGGTCACGGGAGACGACAGGTCACACTGTGATGCGTTCATGGCCCCGGGACTTTCACGTTCCAGAAAAATGTCACATCAGAGGCCTGGGGTGAGAGGGTGAAGCTGCAGCCTAAAAATATCAGCAAGAAAAAAAAATGTTAATGAAGAAAATTCCACAAGGACTAACCCACAGCCACTGGGGGCAGCGGTGTCATACCAGTTTGGTTGAATTCTTAACACAAGTATTTATTTACTACCATTAGCATTTTAACTTTATTTAAATTTTCAGCGCAGTTACGTGTTAACTGTAAACACATTATTCTCAGTCATTCTTCTACGGTCTAATCAATAATCTGAATTATAATCTTAGTACAAACAGGTTCCGCCATTAGCAAGTTAGTGTCTGGTGTGTTTAGTGTAGCTATTTTAGCTAATAAGTGACGTGTCAGCTGTGTGCTAACACACAGCAGTTAGCTCATGTTAGTAGTGCACTGGTACATGGTTTATTTTCAGGTCTTCAACAAGGCTGGGCTAAGCTAATCCTGCTAACATTAGGAGAGACTAAGGTGTTCTGCTGCTGTAAACACTTCCACTGTAAAAAATAAAAAACATTACACCGTTATTTTACAGTGTAAATACCCAGATCAGAGGTGTTTGTAAAAACGATGCATCATGTTTCGGTTGGCTGATTTAGAAATAAAACTTTTAAAGACGTGCCTTTTAGTTGGGAATGTTTTTTCAGAGGAGCTGCTGGTGTTCTGGTGGAAACATCTGTTTCTCCAACATCTGCGTCTCCTCCAGAAATTGGGTTGAAAGATAAGATTTTTTCCTCGCTGCAATGATGGCAGCAGACGGCGGGAAAACGTCGGCGGTGTTTGTGTCTTCTCTGCCACCCTGAAGCTAACGCCGTCTCCGTCTTTCTCTCTTCTGCTAATGGTGCGTTCAAATCTCTCCGTCGTCGTCTCTCCATCAAAGCTCCGCCGTGGCAGAAACAAACACACAACAAACACACTGCGTCGTTATCTGCTGCTGCTGCTGCCGCGTCCTGGGAGGCCTGACGTCTGATTGGCTGAGGAGATTAAAGCCACGCTCTCTGTCCCGACATCAGAGGAACCTTCACTCGACTGAACAACGCCGACACCACTGATGAGGCATTCTGGGAAATCAAAGAGGAAAATCATTCAACGTGTGTGTGTGTGTGTGTGTGTGTGTGTGTGTGTGTGAGACGTCATGCTCCTGCTCTGAGAACTGTTCTACACTGTAGTACTGTCTACAGCTTCACCTTTCACTACAGTACATTTATGGCCTTTTTTCCAGTGGAAAATGAGCAGTCCACTGTGAGGTCCACTACTTGAGCAGTGGGCTGAAGAAGAAGCAGCCCACTAAATGAACGACCCACTAAACAAGCATCCCATTAAACGAGCATCCCACTAAATAAGGGGGCCACAAAAATGAGAGGTCCACTAAATGAGCGACCCACTAACTGAGCGGCCCAATGAATGAGAGGTCCATTAAATAAGCAGCCCACTAAATAAGCGGCCCACTAAATGAGCATCCCACTAAATAAGGGGCCCAGTAAATGAGCGGCCCAGTAAATGAGCGGCCCACCAGGGCTGGGTGGAGTGTAAACAGTGTGAGCTGCAGCCCTGGTTGCAGCAGAACTTGGCGCCAGTTCAAGTCTTGACACATGTAAAAGAGTGGAGTCACATTTGTTTGTGATGAATCAGAACACACATGAATAAAAGTGACGTTTGAAGGTGATTTACTCCAGTCGTCGTCGTGTGTGTGCACTTTTCACATTCCAGCCTTTCGTCTGCGGCGCTGGGAGCCAA